CTCTCCTGATTTCCTCTTTGTTCCTCAGGTCAGTCTCCCTTTTGCCAGTAATGACTCTCAAAATGTACTCCCATCCCCTACTCATTTCTTCATCACTTTTAGGAGGCACCTGAAGGTTGTGAGCAAGTGCTCACAGGCAGAAACTCATGCAGGTCTCCTAAGCCCAGAGGATGTGAAAGTGGCTCTGAAGTGTTCTGCTGTCTCTGAGATTAAACAACTTGAAAAGAGAGAGACAAATTGATGAACACCCATCAGAAATTTTCTGAAAAAGAGGAAATGAAGGACTTATTTTTCCCTTCAAATCAACATACTGAAACTTCATTCATCAATTCTACTCTTCCTTAAGCAACATCACTCTAATAAGTGTCTGCTGAGAACTTCTTCTTGCTACTGCTAGAGAAAATGTGTAATTATCGGTAATCTAGCCTTTTGTAGTCAAATTACTTTCTGACTTGAAGTGCTGGTTAATTAAATAATTATTTATCAACATCAGTTTGTGTTGTTATCTATTGATTATGTCGATAAATACGAATACTACTCCTGTACACAAATCCACTGCCTAAAGTTTGTGTAATTAACTTTAATTTCACTTTTTTGTACTCCTCAGAAAGAATGGAAGTCAGAATTCAAACCATGTTCATACTGTAATCTTTACCTGGAATGCCTTTACTCTGAATCGCATGTGCTTACTCCTTTACCTACAGAAAAGGATTTTCTGAGATACGTATGAGACACGAAACTCAAGGATTTTCTGCAACATTACAGACAAAACCATTGTCTGTTTGATGGCCCCTGTCCATTAGTAACTCATCGCTTTACCTCTGCACAGAATTCCACTCTTCTCACTTTTAACAGCACTTTAAACAGATTGGGTTTGTATGTTGCTCAACTTTATAGAAATGGAATCATCCATTATGCATTCTTTCACACGCTACTTTTTTCCTTTAAATATTGTATTTGTGAGATTCATCCATGTTATACATAGTTGAGGTTCATTTATTTTCATTTCTATTTAGTATTCCACAAGTGTATGAATATATCACAATTAACTTATCTTGATGAACACTTGGGTTATGTTTAGTTTTTTGGCTATCATGAATAGTGCTAATACGAATAATTTGTAAATATCTTTGCTGAACATTGACATTTTTTTCTCCACATATACCTGAGGGATGGATTGCTGGGCTTTATAAGATGTGTGCATGGGTTATTCAGTTTTCCAAAGTTGGCACCAAACCACACTTGCAGAACATGGAATACTTGCTATTGTTAATGTCTTCTTTTTTTTTTTTTTTTTTTTGAGAAACTCTGTTGGGCATCACATTGTGCTTTAAATTTGTTGTTCCCCAGTGATTAGTGAGGCTGAATTACTTTTCATATGTTTGTTGACCATTTAGATATTCCTTTGACGCAAAACTGCTAGTTCAAGTCATTTACTCATTTTTTTATTGGATGATTTACCTAGCTCTAATTTAGTTGTAGGAGTTTTTAATATACTCTGGACAAAAGTCCTTTGTGAGATATGTGTCTCAAGTATCTTTTCCTGATCTATGGCTCCGCTCTTTTTACTTTCATAAAGTTTTTCCTAAAGTGTGTTGTATACACATAAATTCCTAATTTTAATGTAGTACAGTATATCAAGTGCTTCCCTTTTGATTAGCATTTTGTATCCCATTTAAGAAATCTATGCCTACCCTCAAATCTTTGCCCATGTTTTCTTTTAAGATATTTTAAATTTTACTTTCACACTTAGAACTATGATCCACCCATACAACTGCGATGAAGGTAAAGGACCAAGATTCATTTCTTTCATATGGATATACAATTAATCTGGTATACTTTATTTTAAAAAAACCCATCCTTTCTCCCACTGCTCTGTAGTGTTACTTTGTCATAAGCCAATTAGCTATGCATATTTGGCATTTGTTCTTACTCACAGTTGTTAACCCTTGGTCTATGTGACTATCTTACACCAACACCACAATGTCTTCTTTACTACAGCTTCATAATGATCTTGATATCTGGCAATGTGGGTCCTTCTCCTATTCCTTCCATCTCCTTTAGGTTACATTGACAATTTGCTCCTTTGCACTTAAACAAATTTTAAAATCAGCTTGTCAATTTTCACCAAAATTCTTTTTTTCACCTACGTTCAATATTCCAGCCTCGCATAACTACCAATAAGGTGTTAATTTAATTCATGCTTGTTGGACATAACAATAACCAATCCTATAGTATATTCATCCTAAACTATAAAACCACAACAAATTTTTACCTTTGTTCTCAAATCCCCCCTCCCCATCTCTTGCTTTTCCCCTATAAATATACCTTTGCCAAACCCCAAAACCAAAAGCCTCAATTCACCTAGCCAGAGCCTGCGTTCTCATCTTTTAGCTATGCACAATTTTAACTGCTACCCCTCAACTAACATAATCTCCATCTCATCCCACTACTTTCAACTTTAACTCCCTCTCTATTTTACCCCACCTACATACCTACCCACTACCAGACCCACACCCTTATTATCACAACCCTCAAAGACAGTACCTCACAACCATATATAATCCCCCAAAATTTAACAAAACCCGTTTATGTAGCTTAATCAACCTAAAGCAAGACTAATCAACCTAATCAACCTAAAGCAACCTGAAAATGCCTAGACGGATTCATACATCCCATAAACAGACAGGTTTGGTCCTGGCCTTTCTATTAACTCTTAGCAAGATTACACATGCAAGTATCCCCGCCCCAGTGAAAACACCCTCTAAATCACCACAATCAAAAGGAGTAAGTATCAAGCACATATAACGCAGCTCAAAACACTTTGCTCAGCCACACCCCCACGGGAAACAGCAGTGACAAACCTTTAGCAATAAACGAAAGTTTAACTAAGCTATGCTGCACCCACGGTTGGTTAATTTCGTGCCAGACACTGCGGCCATACGATTAACCCAAGCTGATAGAAACTGGCGTAGAGTGTTTTAGATCTATTTTAATAAAGCCAAACTCCATCTAAGTTGTAAAAAACACCAGCTGACGTAAAATAAACTACGAAAGCGGCTTTAAAGCTTCTGAATATACAATAGCTAAGATCCACACGGATTAGATACCCCACTATGCTTAGCCCTAAACCTCAATAGTTAGAACAACAAAACTACTCGCCAGAATACTACAAGCAACAGCTTGAAAATCAAAGGACTTGGCCGTGCTTCACATCCCTCTAGAGGAGCCTGTTCTATAATGGATAAACTCCGATTCACCTCACCACCTCTGGCCTAGTCTATATACCGCCATCCTCAGCAAACCCTAATAAAGGTTATAAAGTAAGCATAAGTGCCCCCGCAAAAACGTTAGGTCAAGGTGTAGCTTATGAGGTGGTAAGAAATGGGCGACATTTTCTACCCCAGAAAACCCCACAATAGCTCTTATGAAATCTAAGAGCCCAAGGAGGATTTAACAGTATATTAAGAGCAGAGTGCTTAATTGAATAAGGCCATAAAACACGCACACACTGCCCGTCACCCTCCTCAAATATATTTAAGGATCAACTTAACTAAACACCCCTCATATCTATATAGAGGAGATAAGTCGTAACACAGTAAGTGTACTGGAAAGTGCACTTGGATAAACCAAGGCATAGCTTAATATAAAGTATCCGGCTTACACCCTGAAGACCTCAATATAATTTGATTGCCTTGAGCTAACGCTAGTCGCAAACCCAATCAATACTAATACCAAATAACTTCTACTAAACCATTCACTCGTACAAAAGTATAGGCGATAGAAATTTTATCCTGATGCTATAGACACAGTGCCATAAGGGAAAGATGAAAAAAGACCAACCAAGCACAAAACAGTAAGGACACACCCCTATACCTTCTGCATAATGAATTAACCAGAGACAACTTCGCAAAGAGAACTAGAGCCAAGTTCCTCGAAACCAGACGAGCTACCCAAAAACAGCTAAAAGAGCACACCCGTCTATGTGGTAAAATAGTGGGAAGATTTCTGGGTAGAGGGGGTGATAGCTGGTTATCCAAGATAGAATCTTGGTTCAACCTTAAGTTTACCTACAGAATCACTTAATTCCCTTGTAAACTTAACTGTTTGTCTAAAGAGGGACAGTTCTTTAGACACTAGAAAAAAACCTTGTATAGAGAGTAAAAAAAATCCAATTTCCATAGTTGGCCCAAAAGCAGCCATCAATTAAGAAAGCGTTCAAGCTCAACATCAAACACCTAAAAAATCCCAAACATACTACTGAACTCCTCGCATCACATTGGATTAATCTATTATTTCATAGAAGCAACAATGTTAGTATAAGTAACATGAAAATTTTCTCCACCACATAAGCCTACATCAGACAAGAATTTCACCGATACTTAACAGTCCAATATTTACAAACACAAACAAAACTAATACTACTCACACTGTTAACCCAACACAGGCATGCTTCCAAGGAAAAGTTTTAAAAAGTAAAAGGAACTCGGCAAACTTAACCCCTCCTGTTTACCAAAACATCACCTCTAGCATTACCAGTAGTAGAGGCACCGCCTGCCAAGTGACACGTGTTTAACAGCCGCGGTACCCTGACCGTGCAAAGGTAGCATAATCACTTGTTCCTTAAATAGGGACTTGCAAGAATGGCACCACGAGGGTTCAACTGTCTCTTACTTTTAACCAGTGAAATTGACCTCCCCGTGAAGAGGCGGACATAAGATAATACGATAAGAAGACCCTATGGAGCTTTAATTTACTAATGCAATCTAAACCATACTAATCTGTGGACTTTAACTCACTACACCTGCATTAAAAATTTTGGCTGGGGTGACCTCGGAGCATAACTCAGCCTCCGAACAACCTATGCTAAGGCTACACTAGCCAAAGCAAATCAATGCCCACAATTGATCCAATAACTTGACCAAGGGAACAAGTTACCCTAGGGATAACAGTGCAATCCTATTTTAGAGTCCATATCGACAATAGGGTTTATGACCTCGATGTTGGATCAGAACATCCTAATGGTGCAGCAGCTATCAAGGGTTCGTTTGTTCAGTGATTAAAGTCCTACGTGATCTGAGTTCAGACCGGAGCAATCCAGGTCGGTTTCTATCTATTCTATATTTCTCCCTGTACGAAAGGATAAGAGAAATAGGGTCCACTTCATAAAGCGCCCTCTTTCCATAGAAAGAGAAAAAATGAGTCAGAATAAGAAATAAGCCTTGAAAAATATCTCTAGGTCTATCTGGAAGCAGGAGTTAAAGTTAGTGAATCAGACTTTTTTCCCCTAATGTTCTATTTTGTGAGTAATTGGAATCATGAGTCATTATTTTAATTTTCCTCCTAGAGAAACGATGCAGAAATCCAGAATTAATCAATGGGATAGTGGAAGTTAAGAAAGATCTTCTCCTTGGTTCAACCATACAATTCAGCTGCTCAGAGGGGTGAGTATAAGGCAACCTAGAAGCAATAATTTCCTTTTCATTTGATTTTTATAAGGCGTTAACGCATTTATATGTTTCAAAAATAAAAGTGGCATAAAAAGACATATATCAATAATTCTCACTTCCACCCCATCCTCATTCATCCCATTTCTCTCTACCCTCTGACAGAAAATGGCATTGATTAGTTTCAGATTTATCGCTTTAGTGTTTACTTCTATAAATACAAGTGAGTACAAGTATTTTTATCAACATTTTTCCCCCTTTATTGTAACAGAAGATATCTGACTGCATACATCGTTTTGAACCTTGCTTTTGTTTTTTTTAACTTACAACATTGCTATGGACTGAATTTTTTTGATATTCCCTCAAAATTCATATCTGAATCCCCAGTGTGATAGTATTTGGAGACGGGGCCTTTGGGAGATAATTAGGTCATGGGAGCGGAGTCCTCATGTGGGGATTAGTGTCCTCATAAAAAGACGTGAAAGCTCTCCCTCTCTCTCTCTCTCTCTTTCTCTGCCATGCGAGGACACAGCAGGAAGTCAAACCATCAACAAACGAGGAAGTGGGCCCTCACCAGAACCTAACTATGTTGGTACCCTGATCTCAGACTTCCTAGCTTCCAGCACTGTGAGAAATAGATTCCTGTTGTTTAAGCCATCCAGTCTATGGTATTTTGTTAAAGCAACCAGAAACATCTAAGACAAATATGTCCTAGAGATCTTTGACATTCATGCACCAAGTGTTTCCTCATTCTCTCTGTCTGTGTGTATATGTGTGTTTACAGTTGCATAGTTTTCTAACGCATGTATTGTAGCTTATCGTAGTTTATTTAATGATTCCTACTGATGGACTTTTGTGTGTTTCCAATCTTTTCCTGTTACATACAATGTCCTGATGCATACTTTGTATATATGTTATATTATATGTATTAATATAGAGAGATGTTTGTAGGACAAATTCCCAGAAGTGAGATTGTTGGATTAAAGAGAAGATGCTTTGAAATTTTGCTAAATATTGCCAAATTGCTCTTTATAAACTGTAATATTTTGTAATATAAACAAATGCCTATGTCTTTACCTCCGTGATTCACTATTTTATCAAACTTTTGAATTTTTGCCTATTAAAAAGAGAAAAAAACTCTGTATAGTATTTTTAAAGTTTTTTATTTTTTCAGACCTCTCAGGGATGAAAGACTTTTTATTTTGAGATAAGTATAGGTTCACATGCAAATGTTAAAAAAAAATACAGAAAGAATCCATATCTTTCTCTAGATGGCCTTCACATTGTCTTGGCATCATTTATTAACAGATCTACACCTAACCCATATGAGAGAACATCTTTTAAAAATACATGTTTAATTCTTCAGTGCATATTAGTCTTTTTTAGATGTCCTATTCAATGCTTTTAGTCTTTCTGTATATTCACACAACCAGGTCCTTTCTCTTGAATTTTTAGTGCGCAGTATCACTTAGAGGTATCCGCCTGACTGTTCTATTTTTATAGTTTTCCTATGTTTGCTTGTTTATATTTCTATATGAACTTTTAAATTGGTTGAGTTTCACTTTTAATTGATTGTATTAAGCTTTTAAATGAACTTTAAGAGTATAGACACTTTATGATGTTGCATCTTGCCAGCCAAGACTTCCCATTTGTCCTAGTCGTCTATGTGTGTGTGGCTGTGTGTGTGTGTTTCAGGACTGTTTTAAAGTTTTCCCCATTTACATTTTTCAATTCTTATGTTTAGTCTTTGCTATCTTATTTTATTTTTGTCTTATTTTTGAGATTGCAAACGGTGTCTTTTATTCCGTTATATCTCCTAACAATTTTTATTCATATATATGGAAACTACTTATTTCTATATATTAATCTCCTATCTCAGCTAATATCTTGAATTTCCTTATTACTTGTAATAGTCTATCAGTTGGTGATATGACTTGGATTTGTCCCCACCCAAATCTCATTTTGAATTGTAGCTCCCATAATTCCCACATGTGGTAGAAAGGACCCCATGGGAGATAACTGAATCATGGAGTGGGGGCGGTTTCCCCCATATTGTTCTCATGGTGATGATTAAGTCTCACGAAATCTGATGATTTTATAAGAGGTTTCCGCTTTCACTTAGCACTCATTCTTTCTTGCCTGTTGCCATGTAAGACATGCCTTTTCCCTTCCACCAAGATTTTGAGGCTTCCTCAGCCATGTGGAATTGTCAGTCCATTAAACCTCTTTTTCTTTATAAACTACCCAGGCTCAGGTATGTCTTCATCAGCAGTGTGAAAACAGACTAATACAGTTGGATTTTCTTGGGATTTCCAGATATGTAATTATGTAATCTGAAAATAATGATTCTGTTATTTTCTCTTTTCCAATATTTGTTTTTCTAATTCCTTTTTCTTATGTACTTATGCTAGCAATTACCTCAAATAAAAAATTGATACCAGTTATTGTTCTCTTATTCTTGACTCTAGCAGAAATGACTAGCAAGCATTTTCTTCCTAAATTTAGTGGAGCTGTATCTCCACTGATTCCCATTATATTGAACATTTTTGGCCAAAACTAATTGTTGATGATTTTTCAAATGCCATTTTAGTGACTATTAAGATGATGATTTATTTTTCTTAATAGATTTATTAATATCATGTATATATTAGTCTGCTCAGGCTGTCATAACAAAATACCAAAATCCCATGGACTGGGACAGTTCTGGAGTCTAGAAGTCTCAGAACAAAGTCCCGCAGGGTTTGGTTCCTGTTGAGGGCTCCCCGCCTGGGTTGCAGATGACTGGTTGTCCTCTCACTGTGTCCACACATGACCTTTCCCTGGTGTCAGCATGAGGGCACAGGGACTGCAAGTGGGAGATCTTTGTGGTGTTTTTTCTTATAAGGACTTTAATCTTATTGGATCAGGGCCCCACCTTCTGAACATTAATTACTTCCTTATGCAAATATAGCCACACAAAGGGATTAGGGCTTCCACATACAAATTTTGAGTAGGTACATTCAGTCTATAACAAGGTATTCTATATTAATATATTTCCTAATTTTGAAGAATCCTTTTATTCTTGAAATAAAACTGTACTATTTGGTCATTGTATAATTTTCTTTTAAAGTGTTCCTGCACTGTGTTTGATATTTTATTCAGGAGCTTATTATTGATATTCAGGGTAAATTTTTTTTTTTAAAGGCAAAAAGTCCTAGAAGAAAGACTGGGACTTGTCAAGAGCAAGAACAATGAGATGATAATCAGGAAATTAGGAACCTAAGAGTTCCTAAGGAACTCTCAGGTGTATGAGAGTAAACCAAGCTCTAGAAGCCAGAAGAAAGATTCAAATTAGAAGTGAGAGTACGAGTACACATCAGTAATGTGTCTTGCTCCTTTATTTAAAGGAAACTACATAACAGAAACTACATAACAAACTCGAGTGAACCACTTACTTGTTTTGAGCGGCCTGATGTATAGCTTGTTAGGGAGAGTGTAAGATTTAAGCCAAGTCCTCAGATTTTAGGTGTAAAGCTTGTTCTGTTCTATTTTTATTCATTGCGAATGGGTACCATGCGATACAAAGCAAAAACTTAAGTTGCTTAGACAAGCTAGAGCATTTTAAAATTGAACAAATAAACCCTTTGCTTGATATGAGAAAAACAACTGCAAGCTGGCCTAAATGGTCATTAGTAATCAAGAAAGCATTATTTTTTCATTTCAAAATATTTAATAAAAATTTGTTTCTTTTTTTCTTTAACAGGAGGAAATTACAGTGTTTATTGGTGCAACATACATGTGGGAGAGCTTGGTGATGAGTAACTCAAAGGGGGTGATTCGAATTTGGGGCTTATATACCATTTTAGTAGGTGATGGGAGAAAGGCACTTATGGGAAGCAAATGACTCTTTAGAAAGGTAAATACATTTTCAGGAGAACAAACAGGAGATAAGAAAGTTCGCAAAAATGCATATTTTTACAATTTTTATTTTAGGTTCGGGGTACATATGCAGGTTTGTTATATAGGCAAACTCATGTCGTGGGGATTTGGCGTGCAGATTATTACATCACACGTGTACTAAGCATCGTACTCAATATTTATTTTTTTCTGATTTGTCCAAAACCTCATAGATAATTTATGTCTAGAGCAAATGAATTCCACTAAAATCTTTGACCTACCTTTTTTAGGTTTTTCTTAATTGGCTCAACCACCAGTCGTTGTCAGATCCAAGGTAAAGGAGTTGACTGGAGTGATCCTCTCCCAGAATGTGTAAGTAAGTAAAACTTTTCTTTCTGACCTGACTACAAACCTAAACTACTTAAGGTAATAACACTATTGTGAAATTTCCCTGCTTCTTTTATCCTTCATTATAATTTGCATGAATTTTGAATTTAACACAATGCCTACCCTGAGTATTTCTTTCTCTTCACTCACTCACCTCAGTTGCCAAGTGCGAGCCCCCTCCAGACATCAGGAATGGGAAACACAGCGGTGGAGATCGAGAATTCTACACATATGCCTCCTCTGTCACTTACACCTGCAACCCCTACTTCTCACTCATAGGCAATGCCTCCATCTCCTGCACGGTGGAGAATAAAACAATAGGTGTCTGGAGCCCAAACCCTCCTATCTGTGAAAGTAAGTCAGAATGATAAGTTCTGCTTTGATCTCTTTTATTTGTTTAAAAGCAAAAGGAAGGCGTATTTATCAGGGAAGATGGAATGATTAAAAGAGAAACTAATCATTGCAATAATAGAGTCATTCATTTATTCAACTAAGCTTGTCGCATGCTGTATCAGTCAGAATAGCATAGGGTGTGCTGCAGTAGTAATCAACACATAAATCTCAAGGCCTTTATATAGTAAATGCTTTTTTCAAGTTTCTTCTTAGTGCACTGCTAGCCTGGGAAACTCCCTAGGGCAGCTGTCACTTATATGGTAATCCAGATTGTTTAGATCTTTGACACCTCCATGTCAAAACTTCCACAATTAGTTCAGCCGGAGAAGAGAAAAAGGAAAGTCAGTCTCTGGCTCTTCAGTTCTTTGACCTGCAAGTGACACATATCACTTGTCATTACAGCCTTTTGGCCAGAACTAGTTCCTTGGTTCTGCATAATGCAGAGTAACTGCGAAACATTGTCTTTTGTTTATCTTACAATAACTGGAAATATGGGTGGACACTAATAATGTCAACCATGCATGCCTAAGGAGCAAACAAAACAACACCAACACCAGCAGGTAATAAAGGTAATACAAGACAATGAAAGAAAGTACTTTCCCTTGGCCTCTCTATGGAAGCCAGAAGAGATGTTTTGTCAATATCAGTAATGATTCAGCTTGCTGGTTTAGGACATTATTCTTTACTGCAATTAAAGTGCCTAAAACCATAGTATCACATATTGTTTTGACTCAGTACAGGACTCAGCCAATGCCGGGGCGAGAGAGAACATAATAGTGAAAAGACTGCAAGAAGTGGAAAAGGCAGGAGCTGAGGCTGGATAAGTTAGTAGGGGCCAGGTTATGAAAGTCTTGTGTGTCACTTTCAGGAGTCTGGAATGAAGGAAAGGGGAAGACATTAAAAGGACAATGTGAAGTGAGACAAAACATAACCGATAGGCACCTGTTGCAACCTTTCAGCCAGGAAATGAAGGTGGCTTCAACTGTAGCCATAGCAGTAAGCCTGGAGGGAAGTTGAGGAAGTATAGAGGAATTAAGGTGTCAGGATTGACAGGACGTGATGACTAACATGTGGGGTGAAGGCAGCTTGTTCTCTCCTTATGGTGGCGCACCACAGATTTCCCGATGCCCTGGCTGCCTCTGCATGACACCATATCATTACCATGGGTCACTGACCCCCAACCAAAATCATCCAGGAAATAAGGCCATTTAATGGAAGGATTTGGAGACATTGAGATTTGGACTTCAGGGTTTAGATATTGCTCATTGTTATCGATGAGAAAGCTGGAGGACTTTACATGACCAACATGATGGGACCTCATTTTGCTGAGGTTTCTGGCAACTTGAAGTATACAAATCTCCAAAATGTTTTCTTTGTTCAGTACCTATTAAATATATGCTTGTGTTAGACCCTCCTTGAAGCAATGCCAACAGTTACAGTCACATCTTTACTGCCATTTCTCTCTGATAACTCAGATGTCTTTTTGTATGCTTCTTTAGAAATTGTCTGTCGACGACCACAGATTCCAAAGGCAATCTTTGTTTCTGGATTTGGACCCCTCTATACTTACAAAGACTCTATTGTGGTTAACTGTGAGGAAGGTTATAGCCTCCAAGGCAGCAGTTTAATCTATTGTGAAGCGAATAATGAGTGGTATCCTTCTGTTCCCTCTTGCGTATCCAGTGAGTATGGACTACGATGGAGTTCCAATATTTGGATCTAAAATTATCCTGATATATAGGTGTGGCATGCTCATAGGCACAAGCCAACTCGACTCCCAATAATCATTTTAAGATAAATTAATACTTTTCTCGTTAAAAGGAAGATTTTTTTTTGTTAATGATATCTTAGTGCTATTGGAAGAATTTCATATATATCATATAGTCATGAGACCAACGACTTCATAGATATTGTAGACTTATATATTTGCTGTAAAAATTTTCCAGGAGACTATAGTAAAGTGTTTCAGTCTAACAAAATCAACATATTAAGATAATTTTTTGAACAATGGAAGTAAGATTCCTTTAAGGGAGTTCTTTTTTATAATTTGTATAGAAATGCTCTATGGACCAATATTGGTCTTGAGATCCTGATGTTGTAAATACATACAGATCATTTATAACATTAATGATTTATTGCTAACATTTATTGAGCATTTTCTATGTGACAAACACTATTCTAAGTGCTTTACACCAATTAACTCATTCAATATTTGCAACTATTCTAAGAAGTTGCTATTTTTTTATCCAATTTTAATGATGAGAAAACTGAAAAAGAAAGATTAAGTAACTGGCACTAGCTCACATAGCTAATTGGAGGTGGAAGCCACCACTACATTGTGGTTTATCTAGTCTCTTCTGCTATCACACGAACTTAGGTGCCATTCAAAATGTGTAGTGATGAAATTCAATAAATATACAGTTTGACAGACACATATCCTCTCCTTGATCCACACGGACCTTTAGCATATTGTTGAATAGGAAAAAAAAAAAAAAAATACAAGACGAAAGGCTCAACTGCAAAAGTTACATGGGGCTTGGTTTGAAGCCAAAGCATTAAGTTGCAGATGATAGGGTCATGATGTCAAGAAGAATCCCTCTTATTTTAATTCCCCATTAAGCAATGAGATTAGAAAGTCGGTCTCACCCTGGAGCAAATTTTTGTTGTGTCTTTCTAGTGATCCTAATGCTTCCTCTGAAGACCAACCATTCTAAAGTGCAGTGATGTGAAAGGAAAACTAAGCTCCTACAGAGTTGGCCCAGCACCTAGAAACTGTCCCCTTCCTGCACCATGGCATGCTTCTCCGTACAACCTCTCCAGTGGCACATACATTTAGTAGACACATGCACTTAATAGACGCTAGTCTATTGGGCAACGGTGCTGCCGAGTCTTTTTCCGAAATTCTCATTTAATCTTTACCATCTCATTTTTTGCTGAATGAGTATATGACATCGCTATTTTGTGACAGGCTCCTGAGTCACTCTGCCATTCCCAGTAACACGTTTCTTTCACCCTTGTGCTTTCTTTATGAGTGGATGCTTGTACCGACCTACCGGACATTTCCTATGCTTCCTGGGAGAGAAATGACTACAACCTAAGTGGTCACGAAATATTTGAAATTGGAACTGAGTTGAAATATCTATGCAAACCTGGCTATAGACCTGTTTTAGATGAGCCTCTGACTGTGACTTGTCAGGAAAATTTGACATGGACATCTTCCAACGAGTGTGAGAGTAAGTAGACTTGAACTTCGTGTGGTGTGTATGTGTGTGTATCTTCTTTGCTATTGAAAGTGTTGAGCACAGTCCTTGAAATGTGCTGAGACTTGCTTCACTCCATAGCATACAGTTAATTTTTATAACTGTTCTGCGTGCACTTGAAAAGATGCATATTTTGCAGTTGTTGGGTGCAATGTTATATATACATCAATTAGATCTAATTTTAATAGTTTTGTTCAAATCTATTCCCGTATCTATATTTATTTCTTGTCTGCTTGTTCTCTCGGTTACTAAGAAAGTTTTGTTTGTCTTTTGTCTTTTCAGAGTTTTTATTTATTTGTTTGCTTGTTTGCTTGTTTTGAGACAGGGTCTTGCTGTCACCCAGGCTGGAATGCAGTGGCATGATCTCGGCTCGATGCAGCCTCAACTTTCCGGGCTCAAGCCATCCTACTGACTCAGTAGCTGGGTCTACAAATGTACACTACCACACCTGGCTCATTTTTGTATTTTTTGTAAAGATGGGGCTTTCCTGTGTTGTCCAGACTGCTCTCAAACTCCTGGACTCAAGAAATTCACTCACCTCGGCCTCCCAAAGTGCTGAGATTACTGGTGTGAGCCACCACACCTGGCCATCTTTTTTGTTTTTTCAAATCATTTTTTGCTTTGTGTATTTTGAGACTACATTGCTAGATGCATACAAATTTAGAATGATATATTTGCCTGATAAATTTCACTTTTTATCATTATAAAATGACTCTGTTACTATAACTATTTTATCTTTAAAATTCTACTTTTACATTAATATAATTCTGACAACTTTGAGTTAGTGTTTACACGGTGTATCTTCTTTTAGTCTTTTGTTTTACAATTTCTGTAATTATGTATATTTTTAAGTGTATCTTGGAAGCAAGATAGAGTTGGATATTTTAATCCTACTTGACAATTTTCATTATTTAATTAGAGCACTCGTCAGTTTACAGTTAGTGTAATTATTAATATATTTGAATTTATATCTAGTATCTATCTGCTACATACTTTTTTTGTTTTACATTCTTTTTTTCCATTCTTTGAATTGATTTAAATTTTTTTTTTCCATTTTTTACCTGGTATTTACTTGACATTTATTTACTTTTAGCTCTTTTTATGATGTTTACACATAATTTACTACTTTTGCCTCTTCCCAGGCAATGAAAAGCCGTAGAAACCTTTAACTTGATTTATCCTGCCTGACTTAATATGATTTTATTTTTGCGTATTTCAATTATAAATGTGTCTTAAACTCTGCATTATTATCATTATTACTATTGCTATTATTATTTTAGTAAATCCAAGTTGTTTAGATTTGTTCACATAATTACTATTTTATTCTCTTCTGATTCTTCAGTCATATCTATTGTTCCTTTCTTTTGCCTCATAAATACTCTTTAGTTTCCTTTAGTAAGAACCTGTTGACAACAAATTTCTCTTTGTTTTTCCTCAATGCGCCATTATTTCGACTTAATATTTGAAAATATATTTGCTGGATATAAAATTCTAGATTGGCAATTATTTTCCATGGCCATGTGAAAGATTTCATTCCATTGTCTTCTGCCTTTATTTGTTTCTGTCAAGAATTTTGCTATTAGTCGTACTGTTGATCATGTGAAGGTTATCTATTTTTTCTGATTGCTTTTAAGATGTTCTTGTCTTTATTTTTTGGCAGTTTTTGTCAGATATGCCTGGGTTGGTTTCTTTGTGTTTAGCTTGCTTGAGATTTAGAATATTTCTAGAATATGAGGTTTGATGCCTTTCATTGATTCTGGAAAAATTTTCAACTTCAAATACTTCAATATTACAAATAAGTATTTTCTTAGAGTACAATTTTAGCCCTATTTTCACTCTTCTACTGACACTTTGGCTACATTTATGTCAAGCTCTTATACTGAATCTTCTATATTTCCTGTGCTCTTATCGGTGTTTTTACTTTTTGTTTCTCAGTATTTTATTATGAATATAAATTATGTTCACTAATTCTTCCTTCATTGATGTATTATCGGATATTAATTATTAATTGAATTCTTAACTTTATTATTTTTTCAGTTTCAAGGTTCCCACTTGTAGTGGATTTGTAGTATTGATATTGATTTTTCTACCAAAATTCTCAATGTTGTATTTTATTTCCTTCTACATAACAAAACAAAGTGGCTTTTAAATCAATGTTTAGAACTTCATTTTCTGGATCCTCTCAGATCTGTTAGCATTGTCTCTTGCTTTCTTTGGCTTTTAATAACCTCGTCTGGTCTCCTGTTTGCTTGTGGCAGGTAGTAAGAGGCATTAAGGGCTTTGAATGACCCGAATCCAATCAGGGAATGTAATGATACAAGCCTGGGTTTCAGTACTTATTACAGATAGTTGGTCTATTTTTGGTTTGTTCTTACTTCAAGGTATAGTTCTAAAGATTCCCAAGAGCTGCGGGTCACCAGCAATCACACACATTGAGTTCTGATCAGCTTCTTAGCCACTCAGTTGTATTTTGGGGGAGGAGAATTATTGTGTATATTTATATAGTATTATATATGTAATATTATATATATTTCAACAGAGAAATATAGATATAATATTATATATTAGTATTTCTGTTGAAATACCAAGGAATATTATATATATATAGTGTTTGTGTGTGTGTGTGTGTGTGTATATATATATATCTACATTTCTGGCATACCTCGTTGGGTATCTTTCTTTCTCATTTAAAGAACGAAGACAATTAAGGTCTTAGCACCTGAATTCTTCACGGATTAACCGCCCCCTTCCCACTATGTTTTTCTACTCGAATCAAAGAGAAGGTGAATCTAAATTGCTTAGCTCATCACTGCCAAAATCAACACTTCATTTTAAGGACTTCTAATGAAGAAACACAGTTGGAAGGAAATTAAGTAATAGCATTTCAACCAAACAATGTCAGAATTTGGAGAAGATATTTGGTCTAACTCTTCTCTCAACTTCTTTGTTTCTTTCTTTCTCTTTCTCTCTTTAAATTATGGCAAAAGCACTTAACATGAGATCTACCCTTTCAACAAGTTTTTCAGTATACAATATAGTACTGTTAGTTATAGGCACTATTTGTAGAGCAGATTTCTAGAACTTATTAATCTTGCACAACTGAAACTTTATACCTGTTGAACAAGTGGAGAGTTGTTTCCCCTCCCTTCTCCAGCCTCTCGCACCCACCGTTCTGCTCTCTGCTTCTATGAGTTTGTCTTCAGATATTAACATCTTCAATAAGGTGGAATCAGGTCTTCAGCCAAAGGTGTGTCCCCGTGATTGATTTACTAAACGTGAACATCATTTAAAAAATTTTTTTTAAATGTTTGTGGGTACATAGTAGGTGTATTTATTTATGGGGTACCTGAGATATTTTGATACAGACATGTAATGTTGAACATTTTTTAATCCATCAGGGGTATGTTGCCCAACACCAGATCTGGAGAATATCAGAATCATAAATGAAAGGAGGTATTTCACTGGTAGATGTGTCTATGCCTATGGAGACAATATTTCATATATGTGTGATGAAGGCTATTATCCTGTTTCTGTTGATGGGGAGAGTTCATGCCACACAGATGGCACATGGAAGCCTAAAATGCCAGCATGTGAACCAGGTAAGAATATTGAGATAACTTGTTGTAATTATTTCCTGGTTTCCCCAAATGATTCCACTTGGTTCCACAAAAGATCAAAGTACTTAAAACTAACTGAATTTGAGGTTGTTCCTCCAAGAAGCATTGTGCAAAGAGGATCACAGATACACACCACTAGCACCATGCAAGGCAGCTATAGAACAAAATATGTTGGAAGACAAACTTACAGGAGACATTTTCTCGTAAGAGAAAAAAGTAGAATTGATGAAGTCATTCAGTCTCATTTTGTCACTTTTCCTGCATGTATGCTGATGTTTTAGTAAAGAGGGACACTACCTCACAAAGCTCCATATTTATAAGTCAAGGCAGAAAACATGATTTACATATTGTGTAACAATGGAAGCTCCAGGTTGAAGAAGTGATCTGTTAGGGAGAGCCTTGAAGCCTAGTGGCTGACAGTGTCAGCCTTTTCTTTCCTTGCTTTGACTCAGACCTACTGAACCACCTCTCTGTTGAAATACCAAGGAGAAGAAATAAGCATCTAGATGATAAACATCTGTCTCTAATCAGGATAAGACATTGAAAATGTCATTATTATGGAAGTATCTTCATTATGAAAGACTCTTCACATCAACACGATGGTGATTACTCGGTACTATAGTTTGGGTTTCTCTAAAAGCAAAACTTGAGAAAAATGACTTGGGAGCCAGTAGTTTATTTTGGAGGTGATTCTAGGAGGTAGGAGCCAGGGTTGAGAGAGAGACAAGGGGAATAAGCAAAGGTTAGGGGCTCAATTCTTTGGGACCACAGAGAAGTGTAAGGAATGCCTTTCATAATTATCTGTCTGAAGGATGGGAGACTGGGACATTTATCCAATACTTTCTGTTGCTCATTGGATTAGGGTTGAAAGGGCAGTAACTGCTTCTGTAATTTAGTCAGTAACTGAGCCTCAATTGCAACTGTGCTCTTTCAGCTGCAAAAGAGGCTCCAAAGTAAGACTGACAGATTCACGTTGAATGCTTTCTGTAGAACATCATCAGCATAAGTCTGAGCTTGTGTAAAACTATATATTTCATCTGCAACTGTAGTCAGAAGTCCAAAGGGACATGGCATGGGTACAAAACATTTGTTACCATATATCCTTCGCATCACTCGATTTGTTTATGTTCCATTAATTAAACTCTATTAATCTTAAGTAATCTACTGCTAACAAGTGTTATATAAGGAAAGAACAGACATTGTGTATTGAAATAATCAAAGAAAGCTTCATGGAGAAGTAGGACTTGAGATAACAATTAGAGAAGGTAAGCAAATTCTAATAAGGAGGAGTCCCAGGAGGAAATGTTAATATCTAGAAGTGGAAATGTACATGACAAGTTTAGGGAAGGAGGAGTTGACTAGTTTGGTTAAACAGAAAAAGTGCTAGATAGGGCTGAGTGTGGATGCTCATGCCTGTAATCCCGGCACTTTGGGAAGCTGAGGTGTGCGGATCACCTGAGGTCAGGGATTCGAGACCAGCTTGGCCAACGTGGTGAAACCCCGTTTCTACTAAAAATACAAAAATTAGCTGGGTGTGGTGGCACACACTGGTAATCCCAGCTACTTGGGAGTCTGAGGCACGAGAACCGCTTTAACTCAGGAGGCAGAGGTTGCAGTGAGCTGAGATCATGCCACTTCACTCCCGCCTGGGTGGCAGAGTGAGACTCTATCTGAAAAGAAAAAACAAAAAGTGCTAGATGAATTTGAAGGATCTATGAAAAAGAAAGGCCAATAGAGGTATTTTTATTTTTTCAAATGTCCATGGTTTGTTAAAGGCGCTGATTATTTTATTTTTAGAAAATAGAGCATTTTAAAATCCCTGACACTTAGTTTTAATCTTAGGAGGCAATCATCCTTCAACACAGGATTTCCTTTGACATTCTCAGGGCTCTAAATTTGTTGCAATTTTTCATACAAGAGTTCCTGAAACTTGAACATTCCCTTTTAGTGTGACTACCCCAGCATTTCATATTACTTATGTCAACACTGAAATCATTGTTTAAATTGTAAAATATGCTAATTATGTTCGGATGGTGTTGTAGTTATGGATAAGATTGTTTGGGGATCCTGCAGTTATTCAGAGCCTTTACAACTATTCACAGATAAATATTTCCTTTACTTAGCCTGACTTCTATTGAGATTGATTTTCATTTAATATGACTCTCTGTGGTTGAATTCATGCTTTCATACCAAAGCTCATTTAACTTCCCTAAGCAGTGAAATATTTTAGTGATCATGTAAACAAAAATCAAGAAAGGTCCTATAAAATGGAGGATTCTCTCAACAAAAGAGTTGTTTTCATTCACATCAAGCTTTTCTCTAGGTTCTCAGGAGGAAAGCAGTATAAATGTTGAGTTGTGTCAAGTTACCTTATGGAAAAAGGATTTGGATGGGAACATTTGAATCTCCTACAGATCACTCAGATTTGGGGAGATTAATCTGAAACTATGAGTTCATGCTCTTCTGTCTCTCTCTTCATCCAAGTTTGCAGTTACCCTCCCAGTATTGCCCATGGACACTACAAGGAAGTTATTTTAATAACTCCTTATCCTGAGGCTACATACGAATGTGATGAAGGATATGTTTTGGCTGGATTTGCTACAATCTACTGCAAGTCTTTTCACTGGCAACATGCACCTCCTCAATGTAAAGGTAACTCCAAATCAACTCATAATCCATTGAAGAGAGAATTAGAAAATATTAATAGCAATGTTTCCTATTAATCAAAGGCAGCATAAATTTTGTCTTTATTTATTTATTCATACTATTTAAATTATGCCTGATACATTTTAAAAAGTAAATGACAGGTACATTGAAAGTGAACTTTTCTTCCTATTCCAGTCTTCCAAAATCATAGCTTGCCCTATGTTCAGAGAGAACCACTACTACAAGGTTCTTATGTATCTTTCCAGAATATGTTGAGACAATATCTTTTACCTGAGAATACCTTTGTGACTCTAGTTTTCATGAGAATCCTGAGTTAATTTCAACTACTCAAGAAAGATAAATCTCAAGTGTTAATTCCCAAATTATGATGTGTTGGAAATCTCCACAAAAACTTCATGATGGTTACCATTTCCCCATGATCTTTACATTTCTACTTTTGATGACCTGATGGTGGTGCTGTTGGTAAACCTGCTGTAGAAACAAGACGAATCAAGTAAGGCTCTATCTCTTGATTGTGCTTGGAGCTTTCATCATTCTGCTAATAATTACCACTGACTCCATTTAACCCAGGAAGATTATGAAGCAAGAACAATGGAAATAAAACATCAGGAATCACACAAATCAAGGCTGTGGGATGGAGCGATTGAGAGCACCAATTCTTACCACTTACAAGCTATTTGATACTGAGGAAATATTTAACTTTTCAGTTTCCTTGTTGGTAAAATTGTCGTAATAATAGTGTCTAACTCATAGATTGGTAGTGAGGATTAAATGAGATAAGTAAAAAATTTAGCACATAGACTGACATATAGTACTTGTTCAATAAATGCTAATAATTACTGTTATAATTATCATTAAAATAAAAGCATAGAACAACCTGCAGGACCAGAATATAATTATGAATACAATGTCTTATCCATTTTATTATCCAATACTGATATGATGACTTTTTTTTAGAAACAGTATGTTCAAAAATATGTTTCCATTACAGCTCTGTGTCTGAAACCAGAAATAGTGAATGGAAGGCTGTCTGTGGATAAGGATCAGTATGTTGAGCCTGAAAATGTCACTATCGAATGTGATTCTGGCTATGGTGTGATCGGTCCCAAAAGTATCACTTGCTCAGAGACGAGAACCTGGTACCCAGAAGTGCCCAGGTGTGAGTGGGTAAGTGGCACAATTCAAGGAAGTTCTGTGCTACCAATCCCTAAAAATAGTGGCTTCTCCCAAGGTTCTGTCCCAGTTAGCAATGCGGAGATCTGACTTTTGTCGGGAAGCATAAGTAACTTACCACAATTAGCACTTCCAAACTTGCATGGTGATAAGCCTAGAGAGACACATTTTCCTGCTGTGTGTCTAGAGCCGAAATCTCTAGACTTGAGAGTCTGTTGATCCAGATGTCCTGACCCCTTGCTCTACATTATCTACAATAAAGGTTGTGCATTTGTTCCATTTCTGGTTGGTCCTCAGAACCATCCCTCAGTTGTCCTTGTGGATGTGCTTTGCATCTGCTTTGGAGCCCAGCATCTTTTTAGCTTCAACACATTATACAGTTTCCAGTATCTTTTAGCTTCAACCTGCTTGGTTAAGTTGCTCAAGACAGATCTGGGCTTGGCTTGCATGTGTGAACACTTGCTAGGACAGCACTGTCGCCCTGATTTCTTCTTTGTTCTCAGGTCAGCCCCTTTGCCAGTAATGACTCTCAAAATGTACTCCCTATCCCTACCACATTTCTTCATCACTTTTAGGAGGCACCTGAAGGTTGTGAGCAAGTGCTCACAGGCAGAAAACTCATGCAGTGTCTCCCAAGCCCAGAGGATGTGAAAGTGGCCCTGGAAGTGTCTAAGCTGTCTCTGGAGATTAAACAACTTGAAAAAGAGAGAGACAAATTGATGAACACCCATCAGAAATTTTCTGAAAAAGAGGAAATGAAGGACTTATTTTTCCCTTCAAATCAACATACTGAAACTTCATTCATCAATTCTACTCTTCCTTAAGCAACATCACTCTAATAAGTGTCTGGGCTGGAGAACTTTCTTGCTACTGCTAGAGAAAATGTGTAATTATCGGTAATCTAGCCTTTTGTAGCTCAAATGTCTACTTTCCTGGACTTGAAGAGCTGGTTAATTAAATAATTATTTATCAAATATCAGTTTGTGTTGTCATCTTGGTCAATATGTCGCATAAATACGACACACTCCTGTACACAAATCCACTGCCTAAAGTTTGTGTAATTAACTTTGCCTCACTTTTTTTGTACCTCAGAAAGAATGGAAGTCAGGGAATTCAAACCATGTTCATACTGTAATCTTTACCTGAATGCCTTTACTCTGAATCCCGCATGTGCTTACCCTTTACCTACAGAAAAGGATTTTCTGAGATACGTATGAGATACGAAACTCAAAGGATTTTCTGCAACATTACAGACAAAACCATTGTCTGTTTGATGGCCCCTGTCCATTAGTAACTCATCGCTTTACCTCTGCACAGAATTCCACTCTTCTCACTTTTAACAGCACTTTAAACAGATTGGGCTTGCATGTTGCTCAACTTTATAGAAATGGAATCATCCATTATGCATTCTTTCACACGCTACTTTTTTCCTTTAAATATTGTATTTGTGAGATTCATCCATGTTATACATAGTTGAGGTTCATTTATTTTCATTTCCATTTAGTATTCCACCAGTGTATGAATATATCACAATTAACTTATCTTGATGAACACTTGGGTTATGTTTAGTTTTTTGGCTATCATGAATAGTGCTACTACGAATAATTTTGTAAATATCTTTTGCTGAACATTGACATTTTTTTCTCCACATATACCTGAGGATGGGATTGCTGGCTTATAAGATGTGTGCATGTGTTTGTTCAGTTTTCCAAAGCTGTTATACCAAACCACACTCTGCAGAACATGGAATACTTGCTATTGTTAATGGTTCTTTTTTTTTTTTTTTTTTTTTTTGAGAAACTCTGTTGGGTATCACATTGTGCTTTAAATTTGTTGTTCCCCAGTGATTAGTGAGGCTGAATTACTTTTCATATGTTTGTTGACCATTTAGATATTCCTTTACCGCAAACTGCTAGTTCAAGTCATTTACTCATTTTTTTATTGGATGATTTACCTAGCTCTAATTTAGTTGTAGGAGTTTTTAATATACTCTGGACAAAAGTCCTTTGTGAGATATGTGTTCCAAGTATCTTTTTCCTGATCTATGGCCTGCCTTTTTTTACTTTCATAAAGTTTTCCTAAAGTGTGTTGTATACACATAAATTCCTAATTTTAATGTAGTACAGTATATCAAGTGCTTCCCTTTTGATTAGCATTTTGTATCCCATTTAAGAAATCTATGCCTACCCTCAAATCTTTGCCCATGTTTTCTTTTAAGATATTTTAAATTTTACTTTCACACTTAGAACTATGATCCACCCATAACTGCTATGATGTAAGGTAAAGGACCAAGATTCATTTTTTTCCATATGGATATACAATTAATCTGGTATACTTTATTTTAAAAAAACCCATCCTTTCTCCCACTGCTCTGTAGTGTCACTTTGTCATAAGCCAATTAGCTATGCATACTTGGCATTTGTTCTTACTCACAGTTGTTAACCCTTGGTCTATTTGACTATCTTACACCAACACCACAATGCCTTCTTTACTACAGCTTCATAATGAGCCTTGATATCTGGCAATGTGGGTCCTTCTCCTATTACTCCTCCACCTCCTCTTTAGATTATATTGACAATTCTGCTCCTTCACACTTAAACGAATTTTAAAATCAGCTTGTCAATTTTCACCAAAATTCTTTTGAAATTTTTATTAGAATGCATTTTATCTATGTATGAATTTGGGAGGAATTTATATCTATACAACATTGTGCCTTCTAATCCATAAACATGGTATTTTCCTACATTTATTTATATCTCTTATTTATCTCTAGCTTTCAGTGAAGAGCTCTTATACATCTCTCATTGAACTTCCCGCTGGTATTTTAAATTGTACGTTTATGAAAACATCTTTTTATATAATTTTTGGATAGTAGATAGTTGTTTTCAATTGTTGATATTTTATTTCATAATTAGCCAATTCTAATTAATTTTTGATATATGTCTTTGGCTTTTTAAAGTTCCTAATTATGTCACCTGTGAGAAATGACAGTTTGCCTTCCTTCCAACTCCTACCATTTATCTATCTATCTATCTATCTATCTATCTATCTATCTATCTATCTTTCTATCTATCTATCTATCTCTCTATCTGCCTGCCTGACTATCTATTTACTCAACTAACATTCTATTCCCATGAATGGGACCTGCAATTCAATGTACTATGGAAGAAATTGTTCACATCTTCTTATTGGTCTCAAGAGAAAAACTTTTAATGGCTCACTATTATGTAGTATGTCTATTGCATACCACCCTGAACATGCTCGGTCTTGTCTGATTGAGAAAGTTTCTTTTCATTCCTAATTTTCTAAGATGTTTCCATTTTTATCATAAATTGTTGTTGAATTTTATCAAGTACATTTTCTGCATCTAGTGAAGTTATCAAAAATATTTTTTCTGTTAATGTAGAGGATGCTGTAATGCTATTTGTTGCTGCATAATAAACTACCCCAAAACTTACTTAATGGCTTAAAATGGTAACATTTACTTTGTTCATAAATCTGCAGTCTGGGCAGAACTTTGTGGAGGATGACTTTGCTCTACTCAGCATCAGTAGAGGTGTCTCACAGACTGGGAGCTGAAATCATCTAAAGATTTGCTTACTCACATGTTTGCTATCTGAGTTGGGAAGACTTAACAGGAGGAGCTAGAAGGCTGGGACTCTTCAGTCTTTATGTCTGCCCTTTGGTTTACTAGTCTGGCCACTTCCAGAATGGCTCAACTATCAACTATGATTTTAGGAAATATCTAGTATCCTGGTTGGGTATAGTATCCCACGCCTGTAATTCCAGCACTTTGTGAGGCTAAGGTGGGTGGATCACTTGAGGCCAGGAACTGAACAACTTGGCCAACATGGTGAAACCCCATCTCTACTACAAATACAAAAATTAGCTAGGGATGGTGGTGCATGCCGGTAATCCTAGCTACTCGGGAGACTGAGGCATGAGACTCAGATTTGAAATTAGGAAGTAGAAGTTACAGTGAGCTGAGATTGTGCAACTGCATTCCAGCCTGGGTGATAGAAACCAAGACTCTGAAAGAAAAGAAAGAAAATATACCGCCTGTAGGTCTATGCTCCAAGTTCATAAGGCATTCTTTCTTAGCTTCTTGGGCTTCATTAGACCATTGCCCTCTTTCATAATATCAGCTGCTTCTGTGACAGGATACCACATAGGACGAGTGAATCTCAGGAGCATCATTTCATTGACTTACATTATTTCATCATCAAGTGAATTCCTTGATCAGAAGCAATAATGTATGTCCTCTATACCAAGGAATAAAGCATTTTAGTAAGTCCCCAGATGGTATGGCTGCAGAAGCCTTGCCACACGGATGATAAATCCAAATCCATTCAATAATCTATTGCAGCAGAGGTAAATCACTGTACCCTCCATGATGAGAACTCAAATGATTGGCTGACATCCGTCTAATATGGTACCAAGATGGATGTTGGTAGATATAAATGCCAGCTTTCTTAATCCACAGGTAGGCAATCTCTGGACATGTTCTACACTCTACCTAAGGTTCCTTAAGAGTTTAAACTGTCCCCACAAAGGTAACTTGCTCACCAATGTAAACATATTTATTTCTTCTCTCATTTTCATCCTTTATTCCTTTAATGAGTGTATTCTAGGATCTCATAAATTTCATAGAGTTCTTCTCAAGGACTGCATCTTGGTAGGCTGAGGCAAATTCTTTTGCATTCACATGGCTGTTCATTCAATAGGGAGTTGATATGGTTTGTGTGTCCCCACCCAAATCATCTTGGTGTAGCTCCCATAGTTCCCATGTGTTGTGGGAGGACCTGGTGGGAGATAATTGAATCATAGGAGTGGTTCCCTCATACTGTTCTCGTGGCAGTAATCAGTCTCACGAGAGCTGATAGTTTTGAGGAAACCCCTTTTGTTTGATTTTCATTTCTCTCTTGCCTGCCACCATGTAAGACGTGCCTTTCACCTTCTGCCATGATTATGAGGCCTCTGACCACATGGAACTGGGAGTCCATTAAATCTCTTTTCTTTGCATGATTACCCAATCTCTGGTATATATTTATCAGTACCATGAAAATGGACGATACAGATATTGATATGATTATTTCATGGTTAGTTGAGCTACAGGAATAAGGTTTTATACCTCATCATTGTCAACCCAATTTCTGCTTTTCTTGTCCTTTATTTAAGACAATAAATTCCTGTTTTTTTGCACTTTATTTTTTGCCATTACTGCACGAGCTTAAAATTTCTGTACTGGAAATATCATAGAGACCATTCCAATTCCAAACTCTTCTTTAAACATACGTGGAGATGAGAGCCTGGGTCACAGTCATGACTAAGCCACATGATTCTTGGTAGGTTACATGAGGATTTGGTCTCCTGATAAAATGGGCAGTTCAAGGTCCACCATAGTAAAAGCAGAAAGTCCTTAGGTATACTCTTCTAAGTGATAGGCACAGAGACCCACACAAAAAAGCAGTGATTCATTAAATGCAATTAGTTTGACATAGTGAAAAGAGCTTGGGATTTGAATCAGACTTGGGTTCAGAATCTGGTTGCTACTGATAAAGAAAGATTTAGAAAAGTATACCCAGTCTTTCTGAATAAGTTTCCTCTATAAAATATGTCTACTAATATCCATGTTATAGGTTTGCTTTGAAGTCATTAATAATTTATGTAAAGTTTGGAACATGTTTATAGGCTTAAGAAGCTGTTTCTTAAAAACAATATTCTACTTAACTATTTAAATGACCTCTTTTATCTACATAGTCAGATTTTATTTTAATTCCTGTTTATCAAATAGACAAACCACATGATAGGTTTATTATATTTCCTTTCTTTCTAGGAAGGTTGGAATTCAATTGTGCTGTCAGCAATATTACAGGACTCCACCCATTTATTTCACTGGGAAATGTTCCTCTTTATTTTTTGAGAGTTAAACACTGGTTGTTATGTACCTATTACTCATTACCGCTCAGCTTGAGTGTTGAATGTCATTTCGGATATTTTTTCAGCATTTATTGTCTTCTCTGGATGAATATTTGTGTATACTCAAGTGACAAATATCCATAGCTTCTTCAAGGGGCAAAATATGAAATCCAAGCTGTTATCTTCACCTTTTCACTTCATGGAGACTAAAAGAAATAATCCAGGCATATGACTTGGGAGTTCTTGGACCAGTCTTAACCCAGATAGTTATTAATAAACTAAATCCTAGGTTTAACAAACACAACTGTTATTAACCTTTTACAATTTATCTTTTTGTGCTTTTGTCAGAGATATAATACTGGAAGAGAAGGACCGCTACTTGGATCCAGCACCACTGAAAATTTCTTAAAGTCATCATGATCCTTTCTATATTTATAATGCTTCATCTTCTACCATTTAATTTTCCCACACATTAACATCACACTTGTGCTGCTTTGCAGCACTCTGAGTGCTATGCTGTACTTACCTCCAACTAGTGTGGGATCCAATAATTTAAGTCATCACAGATACATCAAGAAAACATAAATATTGGGGGAGTAATTGTTTGAACTATATTTTTGGATTTTTTTTTTACAATTATAAACTTGCATGCGTTCTCTATTCCAATTAGGCTGTGGAGTGTTTAGAAAGTACATTTAACTATAGATTTTCAGAATTTTTTACCTGCCTATTGGGAGATGACAATGGTGACTGAAGATCTGACACCTCTGGGAGATTGTGTAAAACATGTCTCAGTATCTCACCTGATGCCTGAAGAACATGACACAAATCTAAACACCTTAATACTTGAAAATAAATGAT